TTAATGTAATTGAAACAAAAATCACCATAGAATCACAGACTGGTTTGGGTTGGAAGGGACCCTAAAGCTCATCCAGTTCCAAACCCCTGCCAGCAGCAGGGACACCTTCCACTAGACCAGGTTGCTCAAAGCCTCATCCAGCCTGGCCTTCAACACTTCCAGGGAGGGGGCATCCACAACTTCCTTGGGCAACCTGTTCCAGTGTCTGACCACCCTCACAGTGAAAAACTTCTTCCTAATATCTAATCTAAACCTCCTCTCTTTCAGTTTAAACCCATTTCCCCTTGTTCTGTCATTAACTGTCCTTATGAAAAGTCCTTCCCCAGCTTTCTTGTAGACCCCCTTCAGGTATTGGAAGGCTGCTATAAGATCTCCCTGGAGCCTTCTCTTTTCCAGGCTGCACAGCCCTAACTCTCTCAGCCTCAGTATCAGTAGTGAAGGGACAGCATCACCTACTATTTATTAGTTGTCTTCTACCAGTGGCTGTGGTTGTTTATAATCAAGAAGCAAGCTTGATCTAAAAGGCATAAAACTGAGCATAAAACTGGGACAGAGGCACTTGAAAACGTTGATCTGATCCTGTGCTTGAACGTGTAAAGGAGAGGAAGCACCTCTAGGGAGTTAGGTGATATTTGTACATGCGAAATGTGGAGTTGCCAGTTACAGGATCACAGAATCCCAGAATTACCTTGATTGGAAAAGCCCTTTAAGATCATCAAGTCCAACCATGAACCCAACACTGACAAGTCCCCGACTAACCCATGTCCCTCAGCACTATGTCTACATGACTCTTCAGTCCCTCCAGGGATGGGGACTCCACCACTGCCCTGGGCAACTCCTTCCAATGCCTCAGAACCCTTTCAGCAAACCTCCTTGCTGAAGGAGTCTCTCCTGAAGGTAAAGGGAGGCGTTTCATTTTCCCTGCATGGCAAGTGGACTGACTTTTGCAGCTCACAACACCTGTTCACACAGAATCACAGAATGTTGGGGATTGGAAGGGACCTCGAAAGATCATCCAGTCCAATCCCCCTGCCAGAGCAGGAACCTAAATGAGATCACATACAAAGGCGTCCAGGCGGGTTTTGAATGTCTCCAGAGAAGGAGACTCCACACCCTCCCTGGGCAGCCTGTCCCAGTGCTCTGTCACCCTCACTGTAAAGAAGTTTCTTCTGAAATTTAAGCAGAACCTCCTGTGTTCCAGCTCACACCCATTGCCCCTTGTCCTACCATTCGTCATCACTGAGAAGAGCCTGGCTCCATCCTCCTGACATTCACCCTTTACATATTTATAAACATTAATGAGGTCACCCCTCAGTCTCCTCTTCTCCAAGCTAAAGAGCCCCAGCTCCCTCAGCCTTTCCTCAGCAGGGAGATGCTCCCCTCCCTTAATCAAGCTTTGTGTCTTAAAATGAGGGAGAGGAAGTGGGCAGCTGTGGAGAGGTGAGGCAATCGGATGGTGAAGTGAGATTTTATGTAAGTATTGCTATGTCCACTCTTCACCGTCTGTTGGAAGCCATCCAGGAGCTGCTCGCAATGCAGACACACATCTCAGGATCTCTCAGTGGCCTCCCAAACTGGCTGCAGGTTTTTATAAGTCCAGTTGAGCTGTAGACTTTCTCACACTCTTCCTCCAGTCACTTACTGTTGTGTCTATTTTCTCTTTGCCTCCCTGAGATTACATCTGATTTAGAGAATGAAAAATGACACAAAGTCCTTATAAATAAACCAAACGCCAGCTCCTGGAGACAGCTGTATCCTGTTTGTGGATTTGGGGGGGAAGTGTTGAGATTTCATGGCTGATTTCTTCTGTTCTTTTCCTGCTTCCAGTCTGTCTCTTTCTTGTTGTTTAGAAGTTGCATCCTACAGGATTAGGTGGGATTTTTCACTGGTGGAACAAGGAATGTAGCTGAACTGGGCCTGCAGTAGGAGAAACTGGAATGATACGTGGCTCTTCTCTTTAGTGCTCTGGCCATGGCTCTGGGGCTGTGGTATGTGGATGTTTGTGTGTTTATTAACATCCTTATTGTTTTTGAGCAAATACTCTGGGTTTATTTGAAGAAAACAATAGGGTCCTGCTTCTACATCCTTGGGTGTTGTTGTTTGGTTTTTTTAGAACTGCAAAAACCATGAAACAAAGGAAACGGTCCTAGGGTTAGAGCCACAAATTGTCAGATTTCCATTGATCTTTGAGGAGCAAAGTAAGCTTGGTCTTTTCTTCAGTGTGATGCTGTGAGGAGATAAAACTACCTTGTGATCTGAGGTCTTTGGCAGTCTTTGTTTTATCTTTGTGATGAGCAGCAGAGCTTTTTGAGAACAAAAGCAACACCTTCCGAGTCATTGAGAAAAATGGCAGGTTGTAGAATATCAAAGGCTGGCAAATAAGCCTGAGCCTCACAACCTCTTTGTGACAAAACAAGTTGGGGAGTAGGGTGGGTGGAGGCAGTGGGATACCTTGCTGAGCTAGCTACATTTATCATAACTCCTAGGAACTTTGAAAAGTGAATATTTCAAACTTATCTCAGAAGAAAGTATTAATTTAGAAGTGAATGTGGATCATCCAGACCTCAGATTAGCTTTGAAGTTTCTTTCCATCTTCCTCCTGAACCTTTGACTCCTCCAAAGCTTAGGGATGACATTGAAATATAGAAAATGCTGAAACAAAAATCTCATTTATCTTCATGGTTTTTTTAGAAGTCACAGAATTGTGACCTCCAGAGATAATCTAATCCATTTTACCATACTCCAACAGGGTCGGCTAGAGCAAGTTGTCCAGGATTCTGTCCTGCTGAGTTTTGAGTATCTCCCCAGATGGAGCCTCTCTAAGTAACTTTTTCTAGTGTTTGACCATCCTCACAGGTTAAAAAAAATATATATATACACACGTATTTTCAGATGAAATTTCATGTGTCTTTTTTATATCTGTGCCCATTGCCTTTTGTCCTGTCAGTGAGCACCAAGATGAGTCTGGCTGGTTTTCCTTTCTCTTCCATCAGGTTTTCATACACATGGATAAGATCCTCCTTGAGCCTTTTCTCCTTCAGGCTGACCAGTCCCAACTCACTCTTAGCTGCTCCTCATATGAAAGATGCTCCAGTCCATTAACCATCTCTGTGGCCCTTTGCTGGGCTCTCTCCAGTATGTCCGTGGCTCTCTTGTCCTGAGGAACTGAGCGCTTCACCCAGTGATCTTGGGGAGTCACCAGTGTTGTGTGGAGGGGTGGGATCCCCTCCCTCGAGCTGCTGGCAGTGCTTTACCTAATGCAGCCCAGGAGGGCTTGCTTTGCCATGAAGGCTCCTTGTTTCCTTATGGTCAACTTGGTTTCTGCCAAGGAAATGATGAAGTACAGTCCTTATGTTCAAATTACTTTTAAAGTGCTCAACGCAAAGGTCTTCTAATTTTTCTTTTGTGCTTGTAAATTAAAAAACAAAAAGATACCACCACTTTAATGGGACTTTTTTTTTTTAGTCCATTTTTCATACTGAAACATTGAATTTGCTAAATTTTCCATTACTCATAGCTGTTTATGTTTAAAATATCTGTTGACCTGAAAAAATAGGCAAAAGCTGAAATGAAACGTAGTTTGTTTTTTCAGTGCCTATATAATGTGTAAGCTGTGATGTTTCCAACTCCAACTGTTGTTTCAGTTGGTTTTTTTGAAGACTGAATAACAAGTCTTAAGAGGATATTGCATTCCTTTTTTTTTTTTTCTGATTACTGTTTGTCTTTTTGAGATGGAAACAAATTCATTTGCCCTTGAAAAGGAAATAAAAATAGCTGGTTTTAAGTCATTGCTAAAAGTCAGTACACCTGACACGGAAAATACTCCTCTATTTTCTCATCAGCCTTGAAATTGAATTTTGAAGGCAATACTGGGTGAAGCTTTGAACTTCCACACAACAGAGATTCTTTCCTTCCCCCTCACTGTTCTTCTTGTAAAAAAAATCAATACTTATGTTTGGACACTGGGTTGGTAGGCTGGCATCTTTCTTGCTTATGTTGCTGGGCAAGATGTTCTTCAACAGATGTTTTCATTTCATATGTCTGCATTTTCTAGAAACGTGAGATATGGTTTCTCTACCTGCTCCCAAACTCTTAGGTAGACAGTGCCCTTAACTATTTACATGTTACTTTACCAGGGAGCCAAAAATCAGAGGCTACTGTAGAAAATCTGCATTTCTACCACTCTTGTTCTCAGACTTGCTTGTAGAATGGTGAATATGACCTTCCTGACACTTTATTTTACATTTTGTTACCTCTTTTCTTTCTACAATCTCCTTCCCAATTCATCTCGTGGATGTTTAAACACGTAAGTTACACAATCCTTTTCTATGAGTAAAATTTAGAGCTCCTGACATACCCCCGTACAAAGGCAAGAGGTGAGAAGAGCCACATGGTTTTTTAGCTTTGTACAAACTCTGTGCTTCCTACAAAGTTTTGGGCAAACAATCAAACTCCATGAAGTTGTGTCATCTTAGCAAGTTACTTCCAGCTCAGCTGAACTGATATAACTAATTGCTGGGGGTCCAATTTACAGTCCCTGGTAGTTTGAGAAATCTTTGAAAGAACTGTGTATCTTTCTGTGCTGACATATCCAAGCTTTGCAGGTGACACTGCAGGGAACGTGCCACAGTTCATAGACTGCAAGTTGTGGTGATACCTACAACCCCTGTCATCATAAGTCACTGAAAGTGGAGGTGGGAGCTTTTCACAGACACATGATTTGCATTGGACCCTTAGAAAGAGAAGTGCCCAAGAATGCTTTATCTTGTGGACTTTTTTCTTACTATGTTATGCTTGAATAGGTGTTAGAGCCCGTGATCAGTCTAAGCAGAGACGAGGGCGTTGTATTAAGACTTACCACACTGTTGGATTCCTTCTCAGCAGTGTTTAGGTTGAACCTCATGGAATTCCTTCGGAGAAAAAAGGACCAGTAAGCCAGGATCTGCACTTTTTCTTCAAACACCAATATTGTGACATCTCACTCATTTTTTGACTTACAGACATCAAATGAGGCAAAGGAATCTGCAGAAAAGACCCATTTCTTCAATGTGCCTGCTTTCCTGACAGTTTCTGGCCAACTCCATTTGGAAGTGATGGCAGGGTGAGTAAAATTAGAAATTTTTGTCTTGATCTGTGGGATCTTCCTGGTTGGTAATTTTGCCCCGCTGGTATCCGTTAGATATCTGCTGCTTTGAGCAACCTGGTCTAGTGGAAGGTGTCCCTGCTGCTGGCAGGGGGGTTGGAACTGGATGAGCTTGAAGGTCTCTTCCAACCCAAACCATTCTATGATTCTATGTGTGCCAGAAGTTAACTGAGCAGCAGTGGCTGAATGGTGATGTGAGAGGCCAACCTAGGCAGGGGAGAACTAGGCTGCTTTTTGATTCTGGTCTACGAACTAGTTTTAAATACTAAGAGTCTCCTGCTTGCCATGGATTCCAAATATGGATGGAGATGTGATCTTTATAGGAATGACTGTAGGATTGCTGCTAGTAACTGTAATACCTTAAGTGTCTTTTTGTTGTTGTTCTCATCTGGCATGTCTCAGCAAGAAAATCTTTTTCTCATTTTAGCTTTCACATTCCTCTCCTCTTTTCTCCTTTTTTCCCAAGCTTCCTTTTTCTGTCTCCTTCACTCTTCCTGTTGTGTTTCTTCCTTCTGTGTATTCTCACTTCTCTTGTTTCATGGTTTTCACACTTGATGTTTTGTTCATCCTAGCCACTAAAGTGATCATGGTCAAATCCTTGATTTGAAAAAAAAGTTATCCTTAAGCTTTTAATGTTAATATTTCACTGGGATTGTTGGGGGTGAAAGTGTCAGTCTGTCAGAGACCCAGTTCCCTTTGATTAGGGGATTTGGTCCCCATCTGCACTGAATTTTCCCAATAAATTAACAAAATTAGTATATTAAACAGATGGAATCAAATCAGCACAATCCCTTATTTGAAGGCAGAGTTTTCTGAGTGCTTGCAATGTGGGTTCTCCTCAGACCTGATATTTCAGCCAAATCACTGCTTGCCAGCTGAATGGCTGATAAAGCCTATCAGAGACCAGGTCTCAGGCAGGGAGCTCTGCAGTTGTTTGCCACTTGCCAAGGGGTTTCATTGTGCATTTATAGTGACTTTAAAATAATTAAAATAATAAGTAGTGAGTTACTGTCCAGTGCAAATCTCCTGCAGGTGAGAGGGATAAAACCCTAGCTTTAGAAAATTTAAACTGAGATGATCTTCCTTTTTCATGTGGAGTGTCTTAACGAGTATTTCTAGTAGCCTTAAACATATATATCATGTCCATGTCTCATATCCAGTGTTACAAACCAAATAGGAAATGTTTAGCAGTTTTTATTTAGTCACTGTTGCACAGTGTAACTGGTTGCTGGTAAATAGCTGCAGTGAATCACAGAATGGTTGGAGTTGGAAGGGATCTCTGGAGATCAACTAGTCCAAGCCCCTTGTTAAAGCAGGTTCACCTAGAGCAGGTTGCACAAATCACATCCAAGCAGGATTTAAATATCTCCAAAAGTGAAATTGTTCAGAGGGCAAGTTTTCCATATAAATCAAAAGATATACATTTCTTCAGAAAGCTGTTTTCTGCCTGACTTATTCTCTCTGAGAGACAGTCTCTTCTCAGACCACCTAGACAGCTGTGGTCTGTTGAAACACTCAGGCTAAAGGTTCTCCATGAACAGGATGTTTCTCATGTGGTGCCCCGACTGCTGTGACAGAAGCACAGGTCACTTGGCAGCCAAAGACTGATGCGTCATCTCGGACATTAGCTGGGGAAAGTTAATGAGAAAGAGGTTTGTTTAACTTCAGGGGTGATGGAGTTCTTGCGTCCCCGAAAGAAGATGGGCTGACATTCGTTTGTACACGTTAGACTTAGTTGTCTGCCATGTGTTGTGACCTTATTTGATTTGTGTAATTACATCCTTCAATAAAGTCCAAAGAAAAAGTATGGATTGTAATGATTAACTTGAAATACAGTCCCACTCTCTTACATCAGTCTGTTCCCTTTAAATAACACACAGCCTGCTCTGGGATTGAGCAGAAGATTAAACTGGGCAGATGCAAGACCTGTCTGGTAGATATTTTTTCCATTGATATCACTCAGGTGCACTTTGCTCTCTAAGGATGGGTTAAAAAAAAAATCAATGCTCTTCAGCATGCAGTACATTACATCACAGCTTCATCCTCCTATTTTACAATAGTGTTGTTCTTACCAGCATTTTAAATGGATCCAGGGCCATCTAAATTTAGATAAGCTGTGTTTATTCATAATGGAGCATAGCTGTTCTGTCAACCTGCTCCTTTTATTTTCATTTTATTTAAGCACACTGAGTTTTTGAGGGCTACAACTCGAGTGGTATTGAATCCCTTCAGTCTTCAAAAATAGATCAGGCTCTTCTAGGGTCAGAAGCACCGTAGGGATGCATCACAGTATTAACCCTCTACATACTGTGAAACCCTTTAGATACTGTGAAAGTTTGATTTGTGGTTATCAAGTTGGGTCTTACTCTGTGAATGGGATTCCTATGTGATCAAAAAGCATCAGTGCATATTAGTAACCAAGCTACTTGGCAAATCAATGTGTTCTGATGATGCTTTCAGAGTAATTCCCCCCAAAACAGAAATGTTCTGGTCTTCTCAATAAATAAAGCAGCCAAAACAGTAAAAATTCATGTGTGTTGGATTTGATCCTATGAAATTTACCCTTTTCACAGAATCACAGAATGTTGGGGATTGGAAGGGACCTCGAAAGATCATCCAGTCCAACCCCCCTGCCAGAGCAGGAACCTAAATGAGATCACCCAGGAAGGTGTCCAGGTGGGTTTTGAATGTCTCCAGAGAAGGAGACTCCACAACCTCCCTGGGCAGCCTGTTCCAGGGCTCTGTCACCCTCACTGTAAAGAAGTTTCTTCTGAAGTTTAAGCTACCTTCTTTTTTAGCCAAACTGGGCAGCCTGGAAGAAATTTTTCCTCATATCCAACCCGAACCTCCTCTGGTGTAATTTTAAGCCATTGCTTCTCATCCTGATTGCCTGGGAGAAGAGAGCAACCTCCACCTCTCTCCACCCTCATTTCAGGGAGTTGGACAGAACCAGAAGGTCTCCCCTCAGCCTCCTTTTCTCCAGGCTCAACACCCCCAGTTCCCTCAGCCACAAGGGAACTCAGCACACTTGTGCTCCAGACCCTTCCCCAGCTCCGTTGCCCTTCTCTGGACACGCTCCAGCACCTCCATGTCCTTCTTGGACTCAGGGGCCCAAAACTGAACCCAGCACTTGAGGTGGAGCCTCACCAGTGCCCAGTACAGGGGGATGGTCACTGCCCTGGTCTTGGTGGCCACACTGATTCTGATACAAGCCAGGATGCCCTTGGCCTTCTTGCCCTTTTACAGCCAGGCTACTTGGTGCTGTTCCTGATAACAGGAGAGAACAGCGAGCTGTTTATAATTTGTGTGTTTTTAACCTTTTTCTTTGAGGAAGAGTGGGAAGAGAGGTGTTCCTGCATTTATTGACTGACTGCTGTGCTGTGTAGGCTTGTTATTGAAGGCAAGGTCAAAAAGTTCATCTTGTCTCTCAGTGTGACACGAATGGCCTAGTTGGCACAGCTTCTCATTTTGTTGTACTTCATCTTTGCAGTGACGGCATCTAAGTTGACTACTTAGGTTGTCTGAATCATTGTCAGCTACTATAAATCTATAGGCTCTTTAAGGTCTGCAGAAAAGTCTTTATTCAGTAGTACAGCTCTCCCTTTTAGTCTTCTCAGTCTCAGATGACTCAGTAACCAACATATGTGGTAGAATTTTATAGCTCTGTGTGTCCTGATAACTAGTTTTAAATGTCACTGGTTTGCTGTCAAGTCCTTGTGGTATTTCCTCACCCCATGATCCTTCGGTGAGGATAAAGGCTCCTTTGGGGACCTGAACTAGGCTGGAGGGTCTGTGGCAGCTGAAGATGATTCAGAGTCATACTGGAGATAGCCAAAAACAATTGTTGCCAAGAAGTACAGCTCACTGGCTGTGTTTACTCATACTTTTTGTATTCCTTTCACCCATTTCCACAAGCTCTACCTGCTCCTCTCCTTTCAGCCCCTCTTGCTAATGGTTTACATCATTGTTTGGCACTGATTATTCCTTGTGCCTCTCTGGCACTGTCTGTTCTGCCTTTTGCATCATGAGCTTTAACTAAAACGGCTCTTCCTAAAAGCTCTGGGGCTTCTCCCCCCATAAATCACAAAATAAGTTCTCTCCTCATTCCTCACTCTCCCTAGCTCTAGGTTGGCCAGAGAAGCTGTGGCTGCTCCTCCCTGGAAGTGTTGAAGGCCAAGTTGGATGAGGCTTTGAGCAACCTGGTCTAGTGGAAGGTGTCCCTGCTGATGGCAGGGAGGTTGGAACTGGATGATCTTTAAGGTATCTTCCAACCCAAACCAGTCTGTGATTCTATGATTCTATTTCTTTTCTCTTACTAGGCCTTCAGTAGGTTTCTCCTCTCTTGTTTGTCTCATGTTCTCTTGAAATGAGACAAAGGCTCAGGGGCAACCTAATAGCAGCAAGGTTATCAAGATAAGAGACAATGGGGATAAGTTGAAACAAGAGGAGTTCTGAGTGGATATAGGGGGAAAATATCACTAAGAGATCAGTCAAGCATTGGAAAAGGTTGCTGAGAGAGACTGTGCTCTTCATCCTTAGAGATTTTCAAGACCCAGCTAGATAAAGCCTTAAGCAACCTGGTCTGACCTTCTCACTGACCCTACTTTGAGCAGAAGACTTAGACCAGCAACCTCCTAAGGCCACTTCCAGCTTGGATTATTCTGTCCTCCTAAATTTATTCTTGGCTTCATTCTCGTTTTCCTCTCCACCAGTCTCATCTACAAGACCATTTTGGGGAGTTAGCCCTTTAGTTCACTTTCAGTTCAACATCTTTTCCCCAGGACCCGTGTTTTTTCTGCCTAACTTAAAATCTCAGCCTTTCATACTCACATCTGCTTGTTAATGTCTAGCTACCAAACTTGGTTTAGTTGAAACATAATTAATCCCACACCCGTCTCCTTAAGCACATTCCCTTAATTTCTAAACCATCATGGATTTGCTACTGTTGTGCCTATTCC